GGACTAATCGGTGTTCCCACGCCTGCTGCTTACCTGGCAGCCCAGGAAGACTTTGCGTGGATGGTGTGGTGGGTTCCCGAGTTAGAAAGGCTCGGCTTCCAGTCCTGCTTCCTCCACCTGCTGCCCAGGCGACCTCTTTAAACCTCAATTTTCTTATCTGCAAAATGGGGGCAATGGAGCTGCCTCAGGATTGCTATGCACCCTTCGTGAGGAGACAGTGAAGCTCTATTTTGGCCTGGCTCACAGGGTGCCAGCATCGGATGGCTGTCCTGGCGCCCTGGTCTATTAAAGACATTCATTGCTCTGGCTTTGGGGGTGCTCGTGAGCCTAGCACCCGGGAGAGAAAAACGGCTGTTTTCCCCATAAAGGGCTGTGTCATCATGAGAGCCTGTGGGGCACTGGCCTTGAGGACACAGAGGCTGGTCATCAGCTCCCCGCTGCACTGGGGGGGTCCCTCATCCTTACTTCCCAGGACTGCAGCACCTTGCCGGGAGGTACTGAGAGTCAGGAGGTGGTGGCGTGAGGGCAGGTCAGTAAGAACAGATCAGATGCCACAGAACTGTACGCTGCAAAATGGTGAAAACGGTGAACTGTGTTGTATATATTTCACCCCAATTTTCTACAAATACACGTATTCATTGATTCAGAGACGAAGGGGGTGCGGGGCAGAGAAGCACCAGTGATGAGAATCATTTATGGGCTGTCACCTGCATGCCCCCTACTTGAGATGGAGACTGCAAGCCAGGCCGGTGTCCTGACCTGGAATTGCACCATGACCTCCTGATTCATAGGTCAATGCTCAATCACTGAGCCTCGCACATCAGGGTCACCCCAATTTTTAAAAGTGTTACTTTTAAAGCGAAGGCTGCACAGGTGCCATTTGAATGAGCACAGGTTGTGACTTAGTGGAGTTTTAGGCGGTTAGTGTTCTTTGTAGCCTCGTCAGGACACAGCCTTTGGCATGTTTTCGTGTGTTGAGAGCATGTGTGTTTGTGTGTGATCAGCACTGAGCTACAGTGGAGGCCACGACAGTGGGTTTGCTCCCCTGCTGAGCTCCCTGCTTTTCGGGGTCTTCAGTCTGTTCCGGCTTCAGGGTCTGGGCCGCTTCCTTGCTGGGCGATGAGAAGGTCCCCTGTGATGTGGGGCCATGAGAGCCAGCGTCCCCTCAGGGTCCTTCCAGCCCCGGGAATGGGGTCGGGGGGTGGGGGGGGGAGATAGGAAGCAGCTGGGGTGCAGCCCTAGCAGCAGTGCAGTGTGAGGAGGCTACCGGGCTGAGGATGTGGTCCTGGAGGGACAGGTGAGGGAGCACCTGGCCCCTCACACATTCCTTTACTTATAGTCACACCCCTGCTGGGGCAGGAAGGGGCCGGGAACTCCCAATCTTCTCAGGTCTGTGCTTCCCTTTCTGTTCTGCGTTCCCGCTGCTTCCAACCAAGGGAGGAAATCTGCCCTTTTCTGTGTCTACCTTAGGCTTTCATCTCGTTTGGACTTCTTCAAGCAATTTACATCTCCTGTCTCATTATTTCTTCCGTGCCATCGTCAAGTCGCACAATAAACTCTCCACCCGAAGGACCTGGCCCGGAGCTGGCAGTACGGGGCCCACGCGCCCAGAGCCTCTCCACCTGCAGACATGCTGTTTAATGACCGAGCTGCCACCCCCACAGCTGAGCCCCCCACTCTGAGGGCTGGCACAGACCACACATTACTCTGCCGTCTCTGTGAGTCTCTGAAATCCTTGAATAGACAGTTAGGTTAGAATTAGTAAGAAGCGGTTCCGCTGTCTTGAAGTTTTGCATTGGCACCTCCACAGAGACCTTTCTTCTTAAGCTCTGGGGGCTCCCCTAACGGACCCAGCGGAGCCAGCAGAGGGGCCACAACGGCCTGAGGAACCCTCGGGTGCTGACAGCAACAGCCTGTCCAACGGGTGTGATCACACCGAAATGGCATCTCTGTGACGTGGCCTTTTTCTTCTTTTGGGAGCAGATTCCCAGCAGTGGAGTCACAGGTGCCTGTGGTGTGGGAGACTTTCCTGATCTGGGTTTTAGTGCTCACGTGAATGAGGCAGACTTGGG